AACAAGTGCGCTTCCCTCTGGGCATCTCTCCCTTCCAGTTTTAGACTACAGAATGCAAAACCCTGAACATCCAGCAGTTACGACCACTGTCTTTTTTTCCATGCTGCAAGGGGGATGCCTTGTGCCCAGAGTGAGTTGGAGGGCCCTGGCCCTGGCCCCATCAGGCCCCTATAGCTCTTTGAAAACCTGGGGGTGACCGTGATGCTCCCTGGGGGCAACCATGATGCTCCCCACCCTGCCCTTTTCCAGGCCGCTGCAGTGTCGGATGCGCTGAGGGATGATGCAGGAAGCATGGCGCCCATCCCTGCGACCTGCGATAGCTGACAGCCCTGTCACTGAGCGGGTTTCTGATGTGCCTGTGCCGTCCACATTCAGGGCCAAGGGCTGGGCAGGAGGCTGCCTGTGAGGGGAGGGAAGAAGGTCTGCTCCACCTCTCTGCATACCTCCCTGGCCTGGAAGTGACCCTGAACCCCTGAGGGGTTGATTGTTCCCAAAGCTTGCTATGAGCTCCACCCTCCCTGGGAGAAACCCAAAGTCTAGGTTGAGCCTGTCTTTGAAAAAAGAAAAGGAAGAGACAGGAGGGTCAGAAGCCAGGAAATGCTGCAGCCCTGGGACAGCAGCCACCGGCCTGCCCGAGACTGATTCCCCACGTGGCCAAGGCCCTGCCCTCCCTGCTGCTCCCCTGGAGGCTCTCACATCCCCACCCCTGCACCACGCTCTGCTGCTTGCCGGCTCTCCCCACCAGTCAAACCTCTGCATTTTTAATAAATTATCAATGAGGTTTCCCATCTGCCCACCGGTGCCAGCCCTCATGCCCCTGCAGGGTCTCGTCCCTGTGGCTTTCACAGACAGCCACTGTCGGAGCCCACACGCCTCTCAGCAGCCGGTGGTGAGGACTTTTCGAAGGCCTTCTGCCCATTGGCCTTTCCTGGGGCTTGGAGGGCAGGCGACTGTTGCCCTGGGTTCAGAGGTCTGGGTGCCTGAAGCCACAGCGAATTGACTGCAGGGATGACAGGGACAAGCACTGGGTTAGGAGTCACAGGACACAGGTTCCCCTCATCCCACTCAGCACGATTCTGAGCCTCAGTTTCCCTCATCTGTGGAGTGGGGGTTCTCATTGGCTGTTGAGAGAGCTGAAGGAGACAGGGGGTCAGTCCTGGCTCTCTGTGGAGGAAGGCCCCGTGAAGTCCTGTGAGCTGGTGAGGTTGGTGGCACCCAACCCTATCCCTCCCCTGGCTTGTACACACTGGAGGAGCTCACAGCTTCCTGCCAGTCCAGTCCTAGGGGGCTGGAGGAGCTCAGAGACCAGGGACAAAACAACCCACGCCTGCCCAGTGCAGGGGGTTGAACAGGCTCATCTCCAAGGTCCCTTCCTTCCCTAAACTGGGAGCTTGTGATTCTAGGGACGAGTGCTCTCCAGTCGTGCCAGTGATTCCAGCTGCCGTTTAAGCCCTGGGTGTGCTGTGTGCATTATCTGTGGTGTCACAAGCTTGGGAGGAAGGCTCAGAGAAGGTAAGCCACATGCCTAAGGGCACACAGCATCAGAGCCCAGCTTCCCTTCCCTTGCACCGCTGCATCCTCTGACCTCTCCCCTCCCCCGGGCTCCCATTGCCCCTTGCCCCCTGGTGGCGCAGGGATGAACTATTCCTCCCCAAAGACCCCTTTCCAGCCCATGCCAGACCAGGCTCCCCCCATCCGGCAGAGTCCTCTGCAGATTTAGACCGATGTGGACAATCCTAATATGGTCGGTCAAGCAGCTGCTCTTGCCTAACGTAGTGATGATCTAGGAAAAGCACTTTCCCCTTCTGTTAGCTCGCTTTTGCAGGAGAGAAAACAAGGCTGGACACAGTCAAGTCAGAGGCCCAGTGATGGAGCTGAGCCCCAGCAGCGAATGGGCACTGACCGCATTCTGTTCAAATTGCCTGGGCCGGCTGAATGCCGCCTGCCCATCCCGCTGCTCGGGAGCTGGTAGCAGGAGAGCCGGGGGCTCTGTCCCCCATTTCACAGACCAGCACGCAGCAGCCTGGACACACAAGTGACCTGCCCGAGGTCTCACCCTGATGGGAGGTGTCCAGAACTCCCAGGCCAGGCCCTGTGGGCTTCTGTACCCATCCTCTGTGTCCCTGTCTCCACCTCACCCATGAGTTCCAGCCCCACCTCCTCCAGGAAGCCTCTTGCACCACTCCGGGCAGAGTAATGGCCCTACTAAACTCTGTGTGTGTGCACACATGTGCTGCTGTGTCATTGTGTGTCCGTTCACCTGCCTCCCTGGCTGGCATCCTTTAAGACAGGAAAGGCTGTGTAAGCAGAAAACAACTCCTTGTCTATGGACAACTTACATCAGCAATGCTGGGCTTTGGGGTCGTCCCACTGCCTTCTGGAAAGTGGGGAGGGAAGTTAGCTCCAAGGCAGTGCCCAGAACCTGAGCCCAGGAGGCCAGGGCCCGTGGCAGCTGGGAGAAGCTAGCACCCAGCCCCTGGATGCATCCCAGTCCTAGCAGGGGTGCCTTCTGTGTGGCTGTGCACGGACGGTCTTCTGCCCTGGCTCTGCAGGAGACCAGAACATTCTACTGAGCTCCCTGGCATCTTAACTTCCTCTGAAAGAGGCGTGTGGGTACCCACGGGCTCCCCAACAGCCAGCCCATTCTTCGTGGCACTGACAATCCTCCCACTGCCTCCCTCTCTCTTGGGCCACCCCATGTCCGTTCTCATGATGTCAGGAGCCCTGCAAACCTGCCAACCAAGGGCCCCCAGTCTCCCTTCCACCCGCCCCCTGCTTTCCTCCCCGCCACAGCTCTGAACTCAGGGCTGTGTCCAGAGAGAAGCAAGCCCGAGGTCCCTCTCCCCGGAGATGGTTTCACGGCACTTTCCTTCCCTCTGTAGAACCATCACCTAACGCATGACGGGTCACCCACAATTGAACAGAGTGGCTCCCAACAGTAGGAGTCACTGTGGCTCAGCAAGCCGGGGCGCAGGGGCTGCCGGGGCTGGAGGTTTGGACTTAGGGTCCCTCGCTGAGCAGCCGTTGGATGGCTGCCACAGCCTGGCTGGGTCTGCTACACCCACTTCTGAGCTGGCTCATTTCTGTGGCTGGGGAGCTGGTGCTGGCCGTGGGACTGTGGCCACGGTTCCTTTCCACGAAGATGCCTGTCCACTCAAGTGCTACACGAGTGGCCCCCCGGCATGGCGGCCAACTGAGCCCCCGGTACTTTTGTGACTTCACCTGGAAGCTGCGGTCTCTGGGTGCTGTTGAGGGCCTGGCTGCCCTGATCCGCAAGGGAGGGGACGAGAGAAGACAGGAGGACCTATCCGTGGGAGTCCTTGGAAGTCACATGGGAGGGTGGCTGCCATCCCCCCAGGAACCAGGACAGGCTACGTCTTTGGCTGCCCTGGAATTGCATTTCCTGATTCTCTTACTGCTTTTCAAGGGGTATCAACTACACTTAAATCCTGACTTAGGGATGCAGAGATGGACAAAGCCTTGGGCCCTTCCCTAGAGGATCTCACAGTCAAGTGGGGAGACACTGTCACAGGATGTGCTAGAAAAGAGATGTGTGCAGAATTACGGGAGCACAAAGGGCAGACCAACACCTTCTGGGCAGAGGGGTCATTTGCTCTGGGTTTTGAGGTATGTAGAGGAGCTCCTCAAGTGGAGAAGGAGGAAGGACATGGGTCAAGCAGAGGGGATGGTGTGAGCATTGGCTGAGTTGGGGCCGCATGTGAGACTGGTTGTGAAAAGTTGCAATGGCTGTGGCAGGGGCTTTGAACTTCGTGCATCAGGAACCACTGGAGGGAGGCCTTCAAGTCAGAGGAAGACTTAGCAGAGCTGTGTGGTGGGCAGGACAGGACCGGCAGCAGGAAAGGCAGGAGGCCGGTGAAGCAACCCTGAGGCCGGAGGAGGACCACCTGACCCAGGCCACAGGGACAGGGCAGGGGAGGGCGGGCTAGGTGGCTGGGCTGAGGACGGGCAGGCCTGCGGGTCAGGACTTCTCTTGTCCGCCGTCTCCTCTCCTTGGCTCCTGTCCCAGGTGCCAGCAGTGTCTGCTCCTAGAAACGGGGGTCAGGTTACCCGGGAGGGATGTCAGGACTTCGGCCTCCGACTGAGGGCCCCACACTTGTCTGAGGATCCAGTGATGGCTCTGAACCACTCTCCCAGGGGGACGCTGGGTCTCTGGACCCCAAATGAAAAGCTCCAGGCCTGGAAAGAAATGGGAGGGGGGAGCCAATGTCTGCCCCCCCAACCATCTGTTATTTACTTCCTCTTTTAATGTTGCCCTCCCTGCGTAATTGGACAAGCCCCGGAACAGCAAGGAACAGGAGGAAGCATTTACCCAGCGATCGCCCCTGGTGGCGCCAGCCTCGCTCGGCGGGTTCATTTCCATTATTATAGTAATTTGGGGGCTGCAGGCTACAATTTTCACTTGCAGCGAGGTATTAAATTGAAATTACCCCAGATGTAATTGTCATGCAAAGTGATCCTGGACACGTTGGAAATGAATGGTTTTTCAAGACGGGGGTTTGATTGCTTCCACTGAGGCATTCGGGTTCTCGTGTCTTTGGGTGTGGGTGTGTGTGTGTGTATGTGGCCAGGGGCTGGGGGTCATTGCACTCAGGATGAGGCCCCTGCCGGCTGGGAGCTTCCCCTGAACTGTGGCATGGGCAGAGGGGCTAGAAGGGCTCAGACCAGGGGGCACAGCCCAAGACGTGGTGCTGGGTTTATGCAGCTCCCAGAAGCCACTTTGCACTCAGGCGATAAACGCCACATTCAGTCTGTTTATCAACTTAACGTGCCTCCGAGCCCGTGTTCCCCCAAAGTGGTGAAAAATTCAGCTTCAGTTATTCATGGAGCTCCCAGCCCCTCTCAGAGTGAGGGGGGCCCGAGTCTTGCCCAGTGCTAAGCATCTGTCCACGCTGGGGGCCACCAGGATGGCCGTGGAGCCAGCCTTTTAGAGCCGTTCTGCCTGCCGAGGTCTCACTGGCCTTCTGCCTCTCCTCCCACAGATGCGCACTGCTGGTGTATTGCAAGGACCTCCCACCCACCAGCATCATCATCACCTTTCACAACGAGGCCCGCTCCACCCTGCTCAGGACCGTCCGCAGGTAAGGCAGGGTCCTCGCTAGCCGAGCCCAGGGCTCAGTGCGGGGTATGCTCACCGGGCGCCAGGCCCGGCCATCAGAATGTCACAGACACTTCTGCCGTGTGCTGGGCACCATTGAACACAGCACATGTGTCCACTTGGCCACCCTTTGCATTCATGCGAGAGAGGCTATGGCCCTGTTTTACAGGGAGGAAGACAGGGGCCAGTGTTTGCAGTAACTTGTGGAAGTGCACAGAGTGTGAACAGAGGACTGGCCCTGAGCCCTTGCCCTCTGCCACGGTGCTCAGCTGCCTCTGGCGCCCGTGTGCTCCTTGTCACAGGTGACAGGGAAGCCACCTCATGGCGGCATGATGCTGGGATTCCAACTCGGGCCTGGCACCTTCCTCTGCACCTGCCATGGACGATGGTAATAGAGACTGCAGCGGCCCAGGGTGCTCACTACCATTTGGCTTCCAGCCTGCACAGCCTCAGCGCCTGGTCTGGGCTGTATCCTTGCTCTGTGTGGCTTGTGGTCTGCATGGCAGTTTTTGATTCACACAGTCACCTGTCACCAGCAGAGGTGCCCCCAGGACACAGGGGCTCAGCCCAGCCTCTCCGTGGGTCCTGGTCATTTGGTCTCCCCTCCGCCCATGCTGTGCCCCTTCCTCTCCCTGCGTCCATGCCAGCTTCCTGGCCCTTGTCACATCTCCGGCAGCATCTGTGTAGTGGAGGGCAGCAGGCACAGCCAGCAAGAGCCCTGCCTGCTTGTGTGCCCTGTGTGCAGCTGCAGAAGGGGGAAGGCCATTGCTGGGGAAACCAAGACTTGGGAGACACTAAACCATGCAGCCCTGTGGCTGGTGGTAGAGAAGCAGGGTGCTGACCCTTGGCCTCTGACCTTAGAGCCCCTCCTTCTCAGCAGCCTGTGCAGGGCAGGACCAGGGCCAACATCCCAGAGAAGGTGTTAGAGCCAGACGTGCACAAAGCCATGCCCTCCAGCAGAGTCAGGGAAGGAACCACAGCCCCCTTGTGTCCCTGTGACTCACAGCCTGGTTAAGTGCCCATCCCAATCTGCCAGGCCCCCCTGCACCACAGAGCGAAAGTCAGTTAAACAAGGGCCAAAGTGAGTGTCCCAAGCCTGGCCAAACCCCTTGTCATTTCCATCAAGCCAGCCACACTGCCACCCCCGCCTTCGCACCCCTGCACGGGCGGGGCTGTGGAAAGTTCCAGGTGCCAGGAGTTCAGTGCAGCAGTAGACCCTCCCTGAGAGAAGGCACCGGAGCCTCAGCTCCACCCAGCACTATTGGTGCTGGTGTACAAAGCAGGGTGAGCATGGCTCTGAGTGACACAGGGACCTGCCCTGACCCTTGGGTGGCAGCCTGGTGCTGCCGCCTGTCCCAGGAGGCAGCTGTGAATGCCGCCCAGATGCCCTTGGCGACTGATGCACTGGCTCCCACCACCAGCCACCGGCCCCACCCTGGCCTCTGCATTCACCCATGGGCCGCCTGGCTCGTCTGATTTCCTGACAAGGCAGCAACCCTTGACAAGAAAATGAGCCAAGTCGCTGTCAGGTGTCACTGTGGGACTTGCTGGTCTGTGAGCCAGCCTGCGTCTGGTGTGGGAGCAGGGAGAAGGAGAGGTTTTGGTCTACCTGAGGCTCCTCTGGAGCAGGGCAGGGCGGGGAGGACGGAGTTTGTGGGCTGAGCAGGCACGCGGCATAGCAAGTGTCTGGTTCTGAGGTGTCAGGCCTCAGCCCTGGCACCTTCAGCGTCTGCTTGGGCACCAGGGTGGATGGATGGAGCAACAAAAGCCACAGACTGTCTTCCCCGTGGTAGTGTGCTGCCCCACAGGTCACATCTGCACATGTCCACCCAGTGTTTCTATGAGGACACCATTCGTGTCTGAGACGGGCTCCTTACGTTCCAGGCTGGCCTCTCCTGGTCCTTCAAGAAGTTCTCTGATGCCAGGCGCCTGCACTCCCAACACACAAACAGATAACACATGCACACACGCACATTCACACACATGTATGCACACATGCATCTGCACATACAGGCACACACATGCATGCATACATGTAGAAATGCACACAAGCACACATGCACATGCGTGCATGCACACACTGAGCCTACAGGGGCTTCCTCAGGGCCCCCCTCTGCACATCCCCACTATAGCCCTTGATGCATTTTCCCCAGATGCATTCTTCACTGGGCTGCCTTTAATCTGATTCCCCTCTTACTAGCCTCCCCATGGCTCAGTTTCTTAATCAAGGTCATGGGCATGCTAATCAAACTTAGGGATAGGCTTGCTAGGGGTTAATTTAGCTAACGGACCACAAACTGTGCCTGGTCCAGAGAAAGCACTGGTTGATGGCCACCATCTCTGTGTCTGCACTGCTGGTGAAGTGAGGCCGTAGGGTACAGCAGACACTGCTATTGCAATCAAAGGGCCTGGGTCCAGTCCCTGCCCTGCCACTTCCTAACTGTGTGACCTTGGGCAGGTGACTGGCCATATCTACAGAAACAGTGACAAGAATACCTTTTGTGTTTTTAAGTTCTGTCAACATTTTCCACAGTAGACTTTTTGCTAAGGGGTGTGGTGGGCCTTCTAGGGGCATGAGACTATAATACGGGGGCTCCCACACCCCCAAGCCTCCCAACACTGAGCCTAATGGTGCCTCGGACATACTTCTCCTTCTCTCCCTGCTGCTCCTCCATCTCCGTACACGGGGTAATGAGTACACTTACAATGTACTAGTGCACTTAGTAACACTAAGACGCCCCCTTACCATGGTTTTATGGCCCACAGAACACACACCTTCTCTCACTTCATCTGAACCTGGCAGGTGGGGAGTGCGTGTGGGGAACAGAGGAGCCTGGCCTTGGAGTTCTCCTGACATCCCTGGGGTCCAGCCACAGCCCCTCTGTCCACTGGCCTGGTGGAGGGCTGTCCCTGAGGTCTCTTCGCCCCTCATTCCCCTGGCACCCTAAGACCCATGGAGGGCCACACCACTTAGCCCAGAGAGCCAGTGCCCTTGGGTCCCGCCTTGCAGGAACTGTGAACAAGCAGGTGCTAACATCATCAGGAGGCTGGGTAGAGGTGACCTGGGGAGGAAGGCAGGGAAGAAACTTCTAGAAATTTCCATACCTTAAGACTCTCTAACTCCAGTCCCTCCCTAACCTGCCCTACAACACATCAGTAGCCAGTGAGAGGGGAAGGTGGGAGACACACTTCAGGTCTTTCTATCATAGAGGACAGGGTCTCTATGGCACCTGTCTTCAGAAACTCCCTGAACGGTGGGTTGCTTTGCCACCAGGCTCTTGTCAGGGAGAGATGCTGGGGGAGCTGAGCTGGCAATGGAAGGCTCCCCCCACCTCTCTGGCCCCCAAAGCTCTTGAGGGAACCAGGGAGCAAGGGCCTGGGAAGGCTTGGGTATGGCCGTCCAAGCCAGACAAAGTCTTGATGGGGTGGGTGGTGGAGGGAAGGACAGAGAGAGCGAAACCCTGATGAATTTGGGCCTGGAAGACAGGCCCGTGTTGGCCGGCATTACTGCGAGTGCTGTGTACAGGGAGCCAGGGCAGTCGCCTTGCTCTTGGGGCTTCCCTCAGCGCTGGGCACCTGCCTGGGTGACCTCAGCTGTATCCAAGAGCCTTCAGCCCTGACAAACAGCGGCATCTAAGACACTGGCTCTCCAGTGAGAGCAGACAGCATCGTCTTAAACACTGGCTCTCCAGCGAGAGCAGGTACCAGACTCTCCCGGAGGGTTTGTTAGGACACGGTTTCTTGAGCCCCTTCCCCAGGGATTCTAACTCCGAAGTCCGCAGCAGGTGCAGGAACTTGTTCTCTGCCAGGTCCTCAGGTAGCACTGCCAGGGGCTGCCAGCTCTGGGGCCTCACTCTGAGACACAGCGCTGGAAGCGCATGCCTGTTGCTGTTCAACATACGAGTCATGCCCACGCCCACGCCCACAGTGCTGCTGCTGTGCGCCAGGCACAGTGCTGAGCTCCTTGCACGCAGCCAAGGGAGCCATGGTGCCGGAGGTTGAATGCTCACCAAGGTTCTCCCAGCCGGGGCATGGCGGCTGCGCAGGTGCTGCACTTGAACCCAAGTCGGTGGCACTCCAGAGCAGCGACGCTCAGCTGTCAGGTGGCCTCAGGTCTTCATTTAGCAGGTATTTTTGGAGCGTTGATACAACCGGCCTGCCTATAGCGCCGCAGAGTTCACAAAGCAATTTCAAACACATTTCCTCATTTCATCCACACAAAAGCCTGTGAAGTAGGTCAAGTATTAATATCGCCCGCCTTTACGAGGAAAATGTAATTACAGAAGGAAAGGGAGGCTGGGAGCAGAGCGGGGCCTCCCGCAGGATCCCAAGGCTCCTCCGTGGTGGGGCCCTGCTGCCTCTCCTGGGGGCTCCGTGCAGACCCCACAGTGAGAAGGCAGAAGGTGGCAGCTCTGCTGGCAGGTGCGACTGCCCCTCTGGCGGGGAAGGTGGGCTGTGTGCAGGAGACTCAGCTGTGAAATGACTCCTGGCAGAGTGTGGTCCTCCTGTGCCAGGGGAGCGAGTGCTGGATCCCAGGTGGAGGGGAGCAAACAAGGGCTGGAGCAGCCGGGTTCAGGTGGTGGGAATGAGAGTGGGAGTGCACAGGGAGGGCCCTGGAGGACCTCCTGGGCGGGGCAGGTGCCTCACCATCTTCTTGGGTCACCCCGGCAGCCCAGAGCGCACACCCAGCCCCAAGCCACTGTCGAGGAGACCCTGCCATCGCCTCAATTGCTCTGATTAGAGGAGCAAAAACAAGCCAGGTGTTACCAGGAAATGGTCTAATTAGCACTTACTGCTGACGATTTTTTTCTTTCTTTCTTTCTGCTTTAAATCCTGGACATTTTTTATTCGCTAATCATCTCTCAGTTCAGCCAGCGCAGAGCTGCGCACGATTTACCTTTTGATGTTCACAGAAGAGAACTCTTGAATTTCAAAGAGCCGGCGGGGATTTGGGGGGGATCGAATGCAGAAGCTCGGGTGTAATCAAACCTCATTAGAGGTTATTCTTCCCGCAGGCTTTCCTTCTCTCCTGCCTCCTCCTCCCCCCGCCCTCCCTGGTTGGAGGGCTGGTGCCTGGGTTTGCTGTTTTCTTTGGGACAGTCATATGAGTCATCTCCTCCCACCTTGGTCTGGTGGAGGCTGCAGCCTCTGTGCCCTCTTGGTCCCCCAGCTCCCCACAGGCAGTGGCAGTGGCTCCGGGCTCTTGGCTGGGGTTCCTCCCTCCACCTTATACCAGTTGCCATGGTGAGAATTAAGGCTTCCTAAATAAAGGTAGCTCCAGGCAAAGTGCTCTTCCAGGAGAGTTGTAACCCGCTTGGAAAGAGAGGGTTAGGAGGACACAGGGCTCAGAAGGGTGTCCCCGTGCTCCTACCTGCACCTCTTCTGAACCCCCTCTCCCACACTGGCCGGGCTCTTGGTGTCCCACTGTGGTTGGGGTGACCTGGAAATGTTTCTGAACAGCTCCTGAGTTTGGGGGGTGTTTATGAGACATGTGATCTGGGATCCTGGACCCCAGCTCATGCCCTTTGGCCAGGGATCCACGGCACTGGGGTCAGTAAAGTCCAATTTTAAAAATCACCTGTAATGCACAGAATCATTGCAGTCGCTGCCATGTGCTGTGCAGAATGCTTCGGGTGCGTTTCCTCCGTTAATTCTCTCAGCCCCGGGAAGAGGGTGATGCTGTTATCCACATTTTCTAGATGAGGACAGATTGCTGCACCAAGCAGTAAAGGAACTTGCCTGCGATTACAGAGCTAGAAGTAAGTAGCTGCTGAGCACAGAGTAGCTGTGCACCCAGTGTCCCTCCAGGGAATACTGAGTTCTGGACATTGCCATGTGGAGGGGACAACCGGGTCTGGAAGCGAGAGAAGTCTAGGAAGTGTAGGAGGCAAAGTGCCTGAGGGTCCCAGAGAAGGCAGCAATTGCCACGAAGTAGATGGGGCGCTGTTGGAGAGAAGGGCCGTTGGAACTGGTCCTTGTGGGCACTGCAAGCAGTAGCAGAAAAGGCTCAGATAACAGCAGCAGGCATGGGAGGCGGTGACTCCAGTGGCATGCAGCTGACTTGGGGTACAGAGAGTAAGCAGCTGCCGTGGGACGTGTGTCCGTTTGTCTGTCTGCGCTAGTGAGGAGAGTCACACTTTCAGATCTGTGTATCAGAAACCAAAGCCTGGAGGCCACAAGGAAGACAGCCTGGGCCCAGGCCTTGCTGAGGGGTGGCCTGGCACTGAGGCAGAGGGAATGCTCCTGGGCTCGGGTCGACACAGAAGAGCCTGGTGCTTACGGCATGGACTCAGGAGCCAGACTGCAAAGGTCCGGATGCTAGACCTGCTCGGGGCTGCTGCCGTGAGCCAGAAAGAAGAGGCTCAGCTGGGTGGGAGGCACAAGGGGCGAGAGTGCTTGGAGCAACATTGTCTAACAGAGCCAGCCCATCTTTTTGCTGATTAGATGCGCTGTTTCTGGGAGATGGACGGGGTGTGGAAGGTGTCCCCTGGACTTCCGTCTAGGTGGATGAGCGGAGGAGGGTGGCATTGTCTAAGACACACAGGACAGACCAGCAGTGTGACTGCACCAGCCCCTGGGTGACTGTGAGTTTTCATTTCTCAGATGCAACGAGGTGTATTTAAGCCTCGGGCTAATTTGTGCATTTTGCCGTGAGGAGTCATAATGACTCTCTCCTTCTCGCAGCATATTGAACCGCACCCCTATGCACCTGATCCAGGAGATCATTCTAGTGGATGACTTCAGCAGTGACCGTGAGTAACATCTCCCACTGGCTCCCGAGGCCCTGGGGAACAGGCAGAGGGGACGCCGCTGGTCCCCTGGGTGTGGAGGACCGTGAGCGTTCACGCTAGGCCTCAGGAAGGAGGATGACCTTACACTTGAGGCTCCTCCAGCTGCGAGCCTTTGAGGACCGAACCAGCTACATTTAGTAGATTTTTTTTTGTTTTGGGTTGATGTGAGTGTATGTCAGTGAGTGCAAGCACATGTGTGCAAGCACATGTCCACATGGGATTGTATGTGTATTTGCATGTGGATGACAGTGTATTCACATGGGGATGTTGTGGGTATGTACGCATGTCTGTACATACATGCATGTGTGCATGTAAACATCATATGTGTGAACATGTGTGCATTCCTGTGTGGCTGCATACCTTGTGTCCCTGTCCCTTAACCTGATTCCTAGACATGAGAAGAGACACCAGCCCTTCAACGAGTCAGTGCTGGGACCCAAGCCCAGAAGCAATGCCCATCATTAGACACTTGTGGTTTGCGTGCTGCGTTCCTCTGCCAGTCTGAACTGAGGCTGCTGTGCCCTCACCCTGTCATTCCCCTGGGAGACCTCGGCAGGCCTTGTCTTGGGGAATCTCCCATGGGACATCTTATTACCTGGCCATGACACAGCGAGCAGCCCCCAACCTTCACACCCACTGTTCATCACCATTTCCTACTTCATGTGCCCCTGGACTGGCAAAGCACCTGGGTGCCAGTCATATCCACACCCCAGATCCGCTTTCCCCATAGAAAGCACAGGGAGGTGTCCAGACGTCCGTGTGTTGAGTCTGAAAGGCACGGCACTCACAGTGGCACTGTCAGGATCCAAGTGTTGGTGGTGTCCCACCTCCTCCTCTGAGAGCCTGAGTGCAGCTGCATGCCGGGAACCACATCCTGGTGGAATCACATCCCTGGGTGTTGTACCTGGAGAAACAGGGTAGCCACCAGGGACAGCACAAAGTCTTGGGAGACCAGAGGCCATTCTCACTAGCACACTCATGTCTCAAGTGTAACGTGCATCCTCAGAACCGGGGGGTTGTGCATGAGTCCCTAGGTAGTCAGAGCCGACCCTGAGTTCTAGGACTCGATACTCTACTCTCCCTTCCCCAGCAAGGAAGGTCTGGGCGGTAGGGAGACACTAGCTTGGGTAGCCTGACATCAAGGCAGCAGGGACTGCAACTGGACTCCCGGAGAAGCAGAAAAGCCTAGTGGTTAGAGTGTAGACTCAGGGGCCAGTCTGCTAAGGTTCAAATCCTAGACTTAAGGCTTCCATCCTGGCTGCGTGCCCTGAGCAAATCCTTGTCTCTCAAGTGGAGATGCTAATATCTATATGACTTACATAAGGATTAGCTGTGTTAACACATCAGGAGCACTTAGAACAGTGCATGCCTCAAGGAAGCCTGCATGCGTCTCTTCTGTTCCTCTCAGGAGTCCAGAGCCAAGCCGAGAAGGTTGACAGACTAAAGAAAGTGAAACCAAAGTGGAGGCCCAGGTAGAGGCCAGGCCAGGCCCAAGGTCCTGGCTGGCTCAAGAAGCGATGCAGCAGCAGGCAGGCTGGGGGACACAACACGCAGAGCAAGTGCCCAGCCGGGGTCTCTCGCCCCAAAGGGTAGAGGCTGACCCTGCCTGTGTAATGAAGACACCCTGGGCAGGTCACTTCACAAAGTCCAAAGTCCATCTCATCTGTTCCTGGCCTCCCAGCACTGGTCACCAGCCCACCCAGGGGAACTGGACTCTGGTCTCATGCTTTTAATGGCCCACAGCCAAGGAGAAGTGTCCCCAGGTAACCAAACCAAGATTTCCCACCCAGAATGGTTTCAGACAATATTCAAGTCCCACCGCGTACTGTCCCGTTCCACTGAAGAGGCCTGGTTGAGGCCATCCTGCCTGACGGGGTTGCCATGTGTGGCAATAGCAGGGACCCGTCAGCTCCATCCACAGCCCAGGAACACCTAGGTGTGGGGCCCGGGTTTGGTTGTTGGACATGGGGAGCTGGGGCAGGGCTGCCTTCTGACCACGCAGCACGCCACAGTCGCGTCCCCGCAGCGCACTGAGCTGTCACCCCCTGTCTTCACAGCTGATGACTGCAACCAGCTCATCAAGTTGCCCAAGGTGAAATGCTTACGCAACAATGAGCGGCAAGGTGAGCCTGGCTGTGGGTGTCCGGGGGCTTGGGTCCAGCAGGGGGTAGGGGTGGTGCTGGGTGGCCTCGTTGCATCGTGACTTGCTTGGTCACCTGCCCCTGGCTGCAGGTCTGGTCCGGTCCCGGATCCGGGGCGCTGATATCGCCCAGGGTGCCACCCTGACTTTCCTGGACAGCCACTGTGAGGTGAACAAGGACTGGCTCCAGCCCCTGTTGCACAGGGTCAAAGAGGTGAGTGAGGCCGAGGAGCAGAACAGGACTTCCTACCCCCACTTTCTTCCAAGCCTCTCACACTCCTGACATGACATACGCTCCCCCAAGTCTTTGGAGGGGGTGGGTGGGACAGATTACTGTGCCCATTTTGTAGATGAAGGAGCTAAGGTGCTGAGGCCTGCCCATGGTCAGCGGGCAGTCAGTGGTGGAGCAGCGCCTGCAAGTGTTTGTTGAACCTCAGCTGTCACCCACAGCAGGCCTGCAAGTGACAAGCGAGAGCTGCTCGGGTCTGTTTTCACCGGGCAGCAGAAGGTTCCAGAAAGGGGATCCTCATGAGTGTCTTTGACAGGAAGGAGGCTGTGGGATTAACCAGGCTTCATCACCCAGTTCCTGTGTGCCTGTGTCTTCCACCCACACGTGACTCTCACCCAAAAGCCCCCACGCTAAGCCGGCAGGGTGGGTGCTGAGAGACCCAGAGCGCGAGCCTCTGTTTACCCTGAAGTTACTCTGGAATTCTGCACATCACTTCTCTGCGTGTCACAGTGTCTCCCCTGGAAAGGGACAAATCATCAGCTTTCTTACTACCACTGTATATTCCGCAGCTGCTCCCTTTCTGATCTGTAGAGTGACAGCAGGTTGCAGATGCCAGCGCCAGCGACTAGCACTTGCTCTGCCAGCCAGTCTTCCCGAGCTGGGGACTTCTACACGGGTCTGGGAAGTAGGAGTCAGGTGTTTCTAACATGCCCATTTCACAGCAGTCTCCAGAGAATTCTTGAACTCGGTCTGATATTCGTTAGGCCTCGCCACCACGGCATCTTCCTGGAGCTGGGGTTATTATTTCCTGCTCACTCCTCATGGTAGTTTCCCTTCCTGTGTGATGGTGACAGCTCGGGAGCACGAGAGAACCCAGTGCGTGAGCGGCTTGGAAGGCCACTGGGAGCTCCTTCCAGGATGGGTGCGTTCACAGGGTGCTTACATGGGGGCCGAGACATGGGAGCCCGGCAGTGACCATTTTCCCCAAGGTAGGGGAGAGGGGGCTCACTCACTTTTCATTGTTTAGGAAACCCCCATCTCTAAGGAGGTCCTGGCTGGCAGATGCCTGGAGAAACAGTTCTGAGCAGACCATCAGTGGAAGGGCTGCGCCCATTGCCAACGGAACTTCTGTTGTGCCCTCCCACTGTGCTCAGGGCCACAGCCCCGGCTGGCTCCCTAACCCAACACTCTAACAAAGCTGGCTGCCCCTTACCCCTGTACATGCCCCGCCAGGCCCTTCCTGCCCCTGATGCTCTCCCCTCCTCTCCACAAAGCCCCTCCTCTTTAGGGCATCTCCCAAGTCTCCCCTCCTCCAGGAAGCCTTTCCTGACTGCACGGCCAGCTAGGATCACTCCCATTGGTAATTGCTCTCTTGGCTTCCCATTTTCCCCTCCAGGTTTGGTTCTTTATGTCCTCTAACAGGTGGCCACTCTGCCTGATAAAGAGTAGGTGCTCAGTGTTTATAAATAACCAGAAGCAACCATTTGCAACGGGAAGGCGATAAAGCTGGAACAGGGAGGAAAGTAGGTTCCCTCCCTGCCCCACCGTTCACTCTCAGGCATTCACTGAACACCTCGGCTGAGCAGTCCCGCGAGTCGGGACTGCCCCAGTGCCAGCAGATGTGCAGCCACCACCCTGCCTGGATTAAACAGAAATCCTAGGTGGTGGTGGGGGGAGGGGGCAGACAGCAGCGAGAGGTGGAGGAGGTGGCAGAATCAGAAGCCAGATGAAAGAAGCGGGAATCTTTAGCTGGGCAGAGGGCGGCGGCATTGGAGGCAGCCAGGACCTTACACAGAAGAGACAAGGTGCTCCCTGCTCGCTGGGATCACGGATGGGTGTGATGGCAGACCTTTTGGTGGGGGTGCAGGGGACAGAGGAGGCTGGGCCCTGTCTTCTCTGTCACCGAAGTCGTCCCTGGCCGTGGAGGCAAGGCCATCGCAGACATGGTGGAAAACACAGAGGAGTGGAATGCAAACAGTGCCAGCACGCTGCGGTGGGAAGATGCGCTCCGTCCACACACCTTACCACTGCGGCTCTTTTGCTCTTTGCAAAAAATGCCTTTTTATGTCATTGTCGTGGACATTTGCTGAGCCGTGTTTCCAGGGCAATTTGCCCCAGGACCCCAATGGCAGGTGTGTTGCTGTGTACCCTGATGGACAGGCAGCTCTTCTCCCACTGTCCCAGGCACAGTTCAGTGCCCACCCCACCTCCAGGCCCCCAGGTTGCTGGCCAGGCACCAGGAGCTGAGGTTCGTGATGTTGGGGGCTGCCAGGCCAGGGGGCGGCCAGAGCTCAGATCTGACCCCATGACCACACCAGGCCTCTCTGGGGGCAACCACCGGGGCAGTGCACTCAGCCCCAGCAGTGCCGGCCCTTAGACTAACTCTGTGTGTATGTGTATTATAAAAGGAACTTAACCCGGTGTGCCATTGGAGCCATCTGAGGGGGCAATACAAAGACTTTCATCTGTGCACAGGGCTGCGTAACCCTCACCACAGTCTCCTCGTGAAACAGTTCTTTTCCCCAAGAGGAGCCCCCGTACCCGTTAGCAGCCGTCTCTCATTCCCCTTCCTGTTCCCTCGCCAGCAGCCGCTCATCTGCTCCTGTGACACAGATTTGCCTCTTCTCTGTGTTTTGTAGAAATGGTCTGACATGTGGCCTCTGACCCTGGCTTCCTTCACTTGGCATATTTTTTAGCTTCATCCACAGCACGGCAGGTATTGGTATTCCTTTTCTTGGCCATATAACGTTCCTGTTTGGTTTACTTATCCATCCATTGATGGACATGTAGGTTGTCCCTACATGTTTCCCTTTTTTTGCTATTGTGACAACCCTGCTATAGGGATTCAAGTACAAGTTCCAGTTTGAGTATCTGCTTCACAAACTTTGGTGTGTGCATCAAGCAGTGTTGTTGCCGGGTCATATGGCGATTCATGTTCATCATGTTGGGGACCCCCCCCCCACACACAGAGAAACAGAGTTGATTCCTGGGAGGTGTGCTGAGTGAGCCTGGCTCTTTAGACAGCCTTAATGAACCTGCAAAACCGCTTCCTTCCCAGTCACTCCTCGTCCATCTCAGTCTCCTGAAAAAGGCTGTCATTTCTGCATCCATAGCCAGCCTGGCCTGCTGGTGAGGTGAAGCCTTCATCTCCTCCGTCCCCAGTGCGAGTCTGCCCACACCTGTCTGCCTTCCTCATGTGAGCTCCTCTTCTGGGAGTCGTTTGGCCCCAAGACAGAGCTCAGCCTCCTACGCTTAGCTCCTCGGTCCTCACCACTGTCTGAGCCAGAGACTCCATAGCACAGAGATTATTCAGACTTACCCCAGGGCTGCAGAGGCCTGTATGGAGACCCCAGCTTTTGGGCTGATGTGGGCCGGTCGCTCAGGGACACAAGCCTCTTGGGATGGGGACCGTGAGCACGTGCCAGCCCGCGTTTCTGCATGTCTTTGTACATGTCTTGTCTCCGAGTCCGGCATGATGTGATCTTGTGAGTGGAAATGGAAATGTTAAGCTGTAATTGGAATTGGGGATTTTCAGAAATAGCAAGAGATAAGAGAGGCTGGGCTTGAGCCGTCATGAGCTGTCCTCAGCTGGTGTTTCCCACGTTGAAAGCTTCCCCGATTTGTCTTCTCTTCCTCCAGTTACAGGATGATACTTGAAACAAGCATTGCCATTTTTTTCAACATAGGTTTCTCTTTTTTTTCCCTTCCGCATCTATATATTTCTCTAGTAAGAAAAAGAGTTTAGAAATCTCAATCCCTGTAGCTTTTAGTAAATTTGTAAAAATAATAGCTTACATATTCTTCAATGCCTACCTACCTACGTACCTGCTCTCCTTGTTCCTCACAGGAGCCCCACTCAAAAGGCAGATCTAGGGCCAGCGCTGCGGCGCAGGGGGTTAAGCCACAGCAACACTGGCAAGCCATTGTCAGAGCTCTGGTTCAAGAGCTCCACTTCTCATCCGGCTCCCTGCTTATGACCTGGGAGGAGCAGCAGAGGAGGATGGCCCAAGTATCTGAGCCCCTGCCACCCATGTATGTGGGAGACCCTAACAGAGCACCACCTGCTGCTCCTTGAGCCTAAGTGTGGCGCTGGCGGTAAAGATGCATCCTTCAATACCTGCAGGCAGGTGCTGGGAGTGCTGCAGTGCAGGACTGGGAGTCCCTCAGTGCCTGAGTCTCCAGTTCAGCCACAGTTGACTCTCGTGTCTGTTGCCAACGTCAACACAGCATCCTCAGAGCGAGTTAACAGATGTTCTATTTTACCCAATGCCGGATTAAAGCCTGCTGGGCGAGACTGGGGGATACAAAATGGAACAAAAACCAACCCCCAGGTGGCTCAGAGAGGTCCTGTCCTGGCTTCAATGGCTCATGCATAAACTCTCCTGTATCTCCCTTTCAAGGTCAAGGTGCCACACAGCACTTAACCCCAAAGGGCCCTCGCCGATTGTCTGGTGTCCGTGACTCCCAGCTGGGCAGATGTCACCACTAAGTTGTGACAGGACTAGCAGAAGGACAACAGCCCTGGGGGCAGTGCCTGTGGGTGCTCTCTGGGGAAGTCTGCACTGAGGTAAACGGTCAGCAGGTTATTTTGTTTTTCAGTTTTTAAATGGAGGAAAGATTAAAAAAAAAAGGGGGGGGATTGCGTCCCTGAGCCCACCCCCAGGTTCAGTCATTTGCTGAAGCTCTGACTGCAGCCCAGCTGTTACAGGCGTGGTTACAGTTAGTACAGAGGGAGGATGCAGATGCAAGTCTGCAGTGGGAAGGGAGCCTGCGGAGAGTCATGGGCGCCAGTTGGCAGTCTCTCCTTCTCTCTCTCTCTCCCTCTCCCTCTGTCTCTCTCGGTGGTGTGGTGTGAATAGCGCTTGCTTGTAGCAAGGGTGTGTATACAGCAGCACACGGTGGTATCACCAGTTATTGGAGGCTGGTCGCACGGACAGGGCTGACCACCCTCATGGTCTCCATGGCCCTCTAGAGGTCAAGTTGAGTTGACTCCACATGGCCGTTGTTAGCATAGACCCTCCAGTGAAGGCCAAGGCTCCCACGTAAGCAAGGACACTTTCAGGCCTTCCAAGGGCCTATGGATTACCTCCCAGCAGCTGTGCAGGGTCCACAAAGGACCTGGTGCCACCACAGGAGCCCCCGGCTCAGCACACGAGGGCAAAGCAAAGACCACAAGTCTCCCCGAAGAAGAGGCCTCTGAGTTTCTGAGGACAAATCATAATTCAAGGGACGAGAACAGTCCTGGGTTTGTGTGTGTGTGTGTGTGCCTGCAGTGTGTATCTACGCACAGACACACCATGACAGCAGCCCGGGAGGACCCTCAGAGGAGCTGCGGCAGCTGGGCAGGTGCAGGGCTGACAGCGAATGAAGCATCTGTGACGTCTCGGCGGCAGGAGCGATGCATTGGAAATGAGCATTGCTTTCCTTGCGGCTCGGTTGGTCTTCAGAGGCACTGTGACTGTCAGAATGAGTCACATGTGGGAGGCTGAGGGCCACAGTACGTCTGTGAACTAAAAATCAGCACACGGTGAATCGAGCTTACAAGAAGAAGGCAGCCTCATTTAGGGGGAGAGACTGAAGCAGGAAATGGAGTGGCTTCAAGGAGAAGCAGAGGTGCCTGCCCATGTGGCCAGCAGGTGGTTGGTGCCGAGGACAGAAGAGCCATCTGGCCTGGCTGCTGGACTCCCACGGGGCTCTCGAAGAGTCTCTGGGTTCCCATTTCATTAGTAGTACCAGGGGCAGCCAGATTTTCTCTATCACATGCCAAGTGCAAGGTGCTCACCCAGGGTTAGAAAATTTGAAAAAAGAAAGGGTGGGGGGGGGGTTGTGCAATTGCTTGCTGGCCCCCAAGAACTGGTGACTGGTTTACATATTTTGAGAATGTTCCCTGGATGATTTTGATTTAGCCAGGGTGGCCTGGAGGAAGCAGCAAGTGTTGGAAAAGGTACATGCAGGCCTGTTTGGGGCTGGCTTTTTTAATCGGCGTGTGGTGATTGTGCATATTGGTGGGTATTGTGTGATCTTTCAATACAGGCATACAATGTGTAATGATCAAGTCGGGGCAATTAGCACATCCATCATCTGAAGCATTTGTCATGTCTTTGTGTTGGGTGCATTCGCAATCCTCTCTTCTAGCTATTTGGAAACATATAATAGAGTGTTGGGGACTGCGTGCGGCCTACTGTGTGAGCCGTGGAAGGCTTGGGCGCATTCATCCGTTCTAGCTATTCTGGGACCCGCTATCCAACCTCGCTCTGTCCTCCCTCCCCTCTTGCTATCCCAGCCTCTGGGACTGGCTGCTCTGCTGGAACAGAGACTGCATGTTCTCACTCCTGTGTGGAACGAGCCTGTTTCTGAAGGTTTGGGGCTGCTGTGCCAAGTTTATTTGTTCCTTTTCTTAGAGGCAGTTGGAGTTTTTAGCAGCTGAGTGGCAGGGCCATTTTGAGGTGTTGGAAAGACAGCTGTGGCAGCTCCATGTCGGATGAAAAGAGAAGAGGATGGGGTGGGTTTGATGGATCCATTGCAGTGCCCCAGAAGAGGCAGGATGGATTGGAAAGGGCTCTTAGAGTTGGAACCAGCAGAGCCAGATCCGTTTGATGGGCAGGGTGGAGTTTCTGAATTTAATGCTGGGGCTTGATGGGGGGTGGGGGGGCATGTGGTGAGCTGTTAAATAAGGAACTCAGGGGAAGGAGCGTATTTGGGGAGAAGATGATGCAGCCACCATTTGTAGGGCTGAGTGAAATCCACGAGGAGTTGGCAAATGGCGTGTTGGATCCGAAGTTGGAAGTGAGGAAGGATGTCGGGCTGGAGGTACCGGTGCATCTGTCCACAGCGGGCAGCTGACGTTAGAGCTCTCCAGAGCTGCCCCTTGTCAGCTTGCGCAGGAACCGTGGGTCTGGATGCTCTCAGAGGTTCCCACTGTGGGTGTGTGGCTGTGCTTCTGGGCCTGCAGGCTGGGGTCACCATCCCAGCTGACAGCCTCCTCGGCCTCCTGGAGCCCCACTGGTGTCTGAACCCTCTCCTCTATTCCCCTTCCTGGGTGTGCAACAGCCCCCACCTGTGGCCACTGTAACCCCACCAACTGTTGGATGGCCACGGTGCTGAGTTGCCCCCAGCAGGCCAGGCCAGGCCGCTAGCACCTGGGACACTGGAACCCGAGAAGTCCCAGCACCACATGCCCCTGTTAGCAGTGACAGCATTCAGAGCCAGAGATGAAGGGGCCTGGTCAGGGCCACAGAGGCCATCTCTGCACCTCCAGGACAAGGCCCTGGCATGCTCCCTGGGTCCCCTGCAGGCTCCGCATCCCAGCTGAGCCAGGGCCCACTCTGTTCCAGGACTACACGCGGGTGGTGTGCCCCGTGATCGACATCATCAACCTGGACACCTTCAACTACATCGAGTCGGCCTCGGAGCTCAGAGGCGGTGAGTGGGGCTCACACCCCCTCTTCTTCCCAGGAAGCACTTGCTCTCCCTCTTAGTCACTGGGGAGGGAGGGGAGTGAGAAAAACTCTGAGTGCTTTTTCTGGAACTTCCAGCCCTGTGTTTTCTTGGGGCCATATTTGCCATTACGGGGAGAAAGCTGCCCATTCTTAGGCAGATCTCTGCTTGGCTCCAAAGGGTTCTGGGCTTTTCTGGGACCTGAGCCTCATTTGGGACTGATGGGAAACCCCTGTAGCTGTGAACCACACCCACCCCCCAACTCCAGGCCAACCAAAGTTTAGGAGGAGGTAGGAGGTGGGAGGGCTTCCCTGGCTAATTTAACTCAAAGGTCGTGAGGTCGGTGAAGTCCTCATAAAGAGGATGGATCAGCAGTGGCGTCTTGTGTTTGTTGTTTGGGGCATGTGAATCGTCCATGGCCCAAGCACCAGGCTGCAGTGGTGACCCAGTCCAAGGGCCAAGTTAAGGTTCTCACACCTGCAGGCAGAAGAAATCTAAGCTTTTGCAAAATGTCTTGTTCTGCTGGAGGTGCCGATGTCACACCACTCACCTGTTACGTAATTCACTCCAGCTTGGCCCTTGCCAGTGGACATGAGTGAGGGGTTGAGCATACCCCTCCCCGCTCCAAGGGCAGCTCTCGAAGCTCCAGTTCTAGATTGGGCTCACCAAGGCCTGAGAATGTAATACAAATAAGGATTCCCCTGGTTATGTGGGGCCAACTGTTTCTGCCCCCTCGGCATCGGGCTCCATCCTCCCATGGAGATCAACCACAGCTCTCTGCTCAGGGCCCAGTGTTGCTCCCCCAGGCCCCTTGGAGAGGCAGGTAAACTGGAGGCCTATCCCAGCCCTCCTGCTTATGCCTTCCTGGGGCTTAGGGCCAGGGGCCGCTCCATAATTGTCCAGCCGCTGTGTCGGGGTCCCGCACCCTTTGCCTCTCATTCTCAAAGGCCACCCAGCAAGGAGGCAGCAGGGAAAGAGAAGGAAGCTGAAGAAGGGAACTTCTGCTCCCTGCTGCTATCAGCCCAGGGGTCACCTGCAGTCCCTGGGGAGGCAGCTTTCCCAGGACCTGGTTCTAGAAAAGGTGCAGAAGGAGCAAGTTTTATGGGCACTTTGAGAAAGCAAATCAACCGGGATGCTGTGTTACAGGATTTGACTGGAGCCTCCACTTCCACTGGGAGCAGCTGTCCCCAGAGCAGAAGGCGCGGCGCCTGGACCCCACTGAGCCCATTCGGTAAGGAGGAGGGGCCGGAACACGGGTGAGGTGGGCAGGTGCGTCCCTTGATGCTCCCTGCCGTCACGTGGCACAGGACGCATCTCACATTTGGAGCTCCACGGATCGGGCAGAGAGGAACAGAGCCCTGTGCTAGGTCATCTCCACTCCTGCTCTTATCTTAGGAGGTTTCTGCCCTCTTGGAGACTTTTGTCTAAGTGGCTGGGGGCCTAGTAGAGACTTGAGCTGAGGCGTAGACAACCCAACTTGTCTGCTGTCACAACATTCCATGATGTTCTTGTGCTTCCTGCTAATGCTGGACGTCCAAGAGGGTCCCCTTTGGGCCTCTGGTGAAGGAAATGACAGTCCTTTGGGGCCAGGAGCCCCTGGGTCTTGGCTGGCAGGATTCAGCCCAGAAAGGTTGAGTGGACACTGCCGGTGCTGTCGCAGGCATGGCCACTGCTATGTATTAAGCACATCTGCTGTCCTCTGTGGGAGAACATGCCTGTGGCATGAACCCTGGGCCATCGTGCTCTGGATGGCCTTGTCCTCATCCACTCTCTCACTGTGACTCACAGTGTGTGACAGCGAGCTGTGGCCTGGGTCCAGGCCCAACTGAGGCCTGGTGTAGCATAGAGAGCATAGTGGTCCTCAGTGGGGAGATGTCCTATCTCAAGCTGGGAGGTGAACACCCCAGGCCCCTTGGGAATCTCCAAGCTAAAGCGCGTCTTTCCTCCAGGGATGGGGGTGGGGCTGAGGGAGGAGTGGCAGGAAGATGAAAAGTACCCTAGAAACCTAGATGAGAAGGCCGCTGGCCCGAGCTGTATCTGTCCTGGGACTCTGGGATGCCCATAATGGTTCAAGGGCATCCTTGTCTCTGGTGCCTGCCATGGAGAGCATGCTCCATCATTGTTGAACTCCCTTAAGTCAGAGTGAGATCCAGAGGGGCTATGACAGGACCCAGGGCAGAGGCTGGTGGGGCTGGGGGCTGGGGAGACTCTGCAGGCCCCAAGAACAAGTGGGTTCTGAGCAAGTCTCGGCCCCCATGGGAGGTGTGATGGTGAGTGAGTTTGCCCATCTGCAAGGTGAGGTTTATAATCAAAGCAAACACCCTGGAGCAGGGTTTTGTCTTAGGTCGCTATAAAGTGTGCTGGCCTCTCTGAAGAGGGGCAGAAACAGGAGGGAAATGACCCTGAGGTCTGGGTTCCAGGGCAGTGGGGTTTCAGAGTGGTCTCCCTCCTCTAATGGATCCATTGCTCCCTCCCTTCCTCTCACTCTCTCTTCCCTCCTTCCCTCCCTTCCTTCCAAATGCAAGGACCCCGGTCATAGCTGGAGGGCTCTTTGTGATCGACAAAGCCTGGTTCGATTACCTGGGGAAGTACGACACAGACATGGACATCTGGGGTGGTGAGAACTTCGGTGAGTCCCAGTCCTGTGTGTCCTGGCCTAGACCTCTTGATGTGCCCTGCAGGCCAGGGAAGGGCTGTGTCCTTGGCCCCCATAGAGAGCTGCTGGAGAGTCACAGGTGCCTGGGAGGGGGTGAGTGAGTCACTCCTTTGGGGGAGGGTTGGGTGGGGCTCCCGAGCAGTGGCAGTTGTTGCTGGGGTTAGCCAAGGCAGCTTCTGCATGGGGCTGCATGGGGCTGAGGCCCTGGGGAGTGTGCCCAGACACACTGTTAGGGGCAGGGCAGGGGGTTGGGGCCAGCTGCAGAAGCCAGGGAGACCAAGGAGGAGCTCCAAACCTGGGGGGCTGGAGCAGGTGTGATTGAACCAGGAGTATCAGACTTTGAGGTTTGGGTCTGGAAGGAGGCTGCAGAGAGACTGAGGCAGGGGAAGGTGAGAGGCAGCTGTAACCTGCACTGGCATCCCTGGGTTGCCATAGGCAGCACAGCGAGCCCTGGGGTAGCGAGCAGAGTCTGGGTTAATTGCTGCGGAAACCCTGGTGGATCTTGCCCTTTTCTTCCAGTGAGGCAGAGAGGCTGCTTCCTGGGGCCCCAGCCAGGTCAGCAGGTGGCTGAGTCTGGCCACCATGGCAAAGGGCTGAGGTCAAACAGCAGCATCGGAAAGCTGGTGACACTAAGTGACCCTCCTCCCCTTTATGTGGGAAAGTGTCACTTTGGAATGGTAACCCTCCTCCTGGGGGTTGCCGTGTGAGTCTATTGAAGTGAGTACATAAAAGCCTGACCCTGCGTGCTGGGCGTGGTCAGGCCTGGTCTCCTGTCGGCAGGGGGACCTCAGAGAGCCCCAGAGTGTAGGCTGCACTAGGGCAGAGAGCGTGGTCTGTGTTGTTCTTGGCTGTCCTCAGGGCTTTGCACGTGTAGTGACTGCCATGTGGGAGACCCATAGTAGTGCGTTTTGGAGTGAATAGATCACAGTGGAGTAAGAGGGAGGGTCCTGTGGTGCCAAGGACTCCCCTTCCCCGGGCACCAGGGAACGTGTGCAAAGTGGGCTCCCTGCACCCTGGATGGGCCAACACAGTGACGCTCAGGGCTCCTATGGGCACTGGGCTGTGGTCCTGGGCACTGGCGCTGCCAGCATTTCCTCCTCTCCCTGTCTCCAGCGTGCTTTATGGCTTCTTCCTCAATCACTAAGAATTATTTCCTGGAAATTTATGACTTCTGGCCTGACCCACAGCATCTGTTCACCCAAAGTGGGCCTTGTAGAGAAATTCATCAGAAAAGTTCTGCCCAGACTGGAAGTTCAGCAAACCAAACAGAAACCCCAGCACCCACTCGTCACACCAAGTTCCTGCCCCAGGAGTCCGTCCCCAGGGGCCTCACTGGACATGACAGAGGCCCTTGGTGTGGGGTTCCAGCCTGTGTCTGCCTGCACCAGCACAGCTAGACCCAGAGCCAGATAAACCTTTGCAGTCTCCATGGGACAAGGAGTTCTCTTGCTGGACAGAGCCCACATATGCCCTGGTGATCACGGCACCCCCTGGCCAGTAGCGAGTCCCAGGCTGTCTCTGGGCCAGCTGCTGGATCCTCTGTGCAGCACTTTTGATGGACAGCTGTCATCCAGTCCATGCCCAGATAAATGCACTCACCATTTCACAGTTCAGCAATGCACCTGTTGAGAACTTGTGTGTGTGTGAGAGATAATGTATTTTTGTGTGTGTATTTAAAAAAAAAAAGTTTGAAGGAATGTATTAATACATTAGATTCTAAGGGTCACAGCAAATGTGTGTTAGTTACTATAACACAATTTTCATGCTAATGTGATATAAAATAATACAGAGAACAGATTGAATGTGGTTCATAGACAAGATTCTAAGAATATAATGATGCTTCCCTCCCTCCTTTTGTGTCTCTCTCTTTTTAGTTTTTGAGATAATATTTTTAATTTACATTATAGTCAAAGGCTCAATGGTCCACTAAATAAAGAATTCAACCAGTAAAAAGGAAAAAGACCGTAGTTCAGCAGGAATATAGGCAAGGGCTATAAACAATAATCAAATGAAAAGATGTGCATTTTACTCATATGTAAATTTTAAAATAATCGCTGATCAAGAAAACTAGGGTAGTATATCATTCTTAACCATTGGTTGGACAAAGACGAAACAAAGTTTGACAAAACTGTGTTTGCAGCAATACTGACACACACAGCCATTTTTAAAATTTATTCTTATTTTTATTTTTAAACTTTAGCCATTGAGAGCATTTTTGTGGAATTGTTAGGGCATTCTTTAAGTTAAAGGCTGACTTCCTGCAGCGTCCGTCAGTCGGGGCTCATTCTGCCTGCTCGTGCCTCCACGTAGTGATCCCATTTGAGCCAAGGCAGCGTGTTAGCCGCAACCACGGAGCTCTCTGGCCCGGCCCACCAGTAGCTTTCCCTTAGAGCGGGGGTCACACACAGCTGCTCACGTCAAGTAGCTATCCTGCCTCTGGTGCTTCCAAGTCCTTTGCTGGGACAAGCGCTGATTTGAACAGAAAAGCTGGGACTAGGTGCTGGGGCAGGACGGGAAGGACATCTCACGGTCCATCCCAAAGTTTTTTTTTTTTTTTTTTGACAGGCAGAGTGGACAGTGAGAGAGAGAGAGACAGAGAGAAAGGTCTTCCTTTACCATTGGTTCACCCTCCAATGGCCACTGTGGCCGGCGTACTGCGCTGATCCGAAGCCAGGAGCCAGGTGCTTCCTCCTGGTCTCCCATGGGGTGCAGGGCCCAAGCACTTGGGCCATCCTCCACTGCACTCCTGAGCCACAGCAGAGAGCTGGCCTGGAAGAGGGGCAACCAAGACAGAATACAGAGCCCTTACCAGGACTAGAACCCGGTGTGCTGGCACCGCAGGTGGAGGATTAGCCTATTGAGCCATGGCGCCGGCCCCCAAAGTGTTTCAAACCACGAGGAAGCCTGGTAGGCAGCTCTCCCAGGGAGCGCTCCCTTTTCTCCCATCCCAGCCTCCTGTGGCGTTATAGCCACGACACAGCCCTTACAAAGCTGTTTCCGAATTTGCGTTTCTTAAGCGTTGTTCATACCAGAAGATTCAGTGGCTTTCCCGCGGTGGATGCATCTGTCCCACGGACAGCGTCTCCTCTGTGGGTTGGGATGGACCCTGGGGCTCCTGAGCAGGTGAAGGGGGGAATTGGAAAGAAGTCCCTTGTGATGATCACGGGTGTGCTGGGGGTATGTGAGCGACGTTTCAACTGCAAGGGACAGACAGTGCTGAGCAGTGAAGGAAGCTGCCTGTTGGTGCAGAAATCCAGGTCCTGGGGTGCAACAGTGGGGTCTCGCTGCCCCTTACATCACGAAGTCCTGAAGATGTCCCCTTGCTGTCACTCACACCCATCACCTTTTCTCCGTCCCCTCCAACTCCCTCCTAAGCAGTCTACCCCATCAAGGCTGCCACCCCCACTGCTATTGCTGCCCAAGAGGCCCACCTGAAACACCGCCTCCCCACCCCTCCTCAGCCTGGGTCCACAGTGCCCCCCTCCTGTCCTAGGCAGGAGGCCCAGTCCTCAGCTGGGTCCCCCCTTCCTGCTTCCTGGGGTCCTGCCTCTAGCCTTCAGTGCAGGTGTACTGACGGGGCCTGCCACCCTTCCCAGATGTGCCCACCCTCAGCAAGGCTGCACCCCACTTCCATGCCTTGTGCTGATCCCAGGGCGAGGGCAGCTCTGGGACTGGGACGCCTTCTAGTCTCCCACCTGCCCGCCTCTCCCTCGCTCTGTGCCCCTTCTCCCACATTGCACTGAGCCCTCTTCTGTATTTGTAACCTGTCAGTGCCTGCTGGCCTGCCCTACCTCCTGCTCCTTAGAGGCACTGCAGTCAGGCAATGTCTTATTCTTGGGGGCCCAGAACAGGAGAAACTGCTTGCCAAACGCCTGTTCCAAAAGCAAGAGACTGAACAGGAAAGGGAGTCAGGCTGGGAAGTCAGGCTGTTGCTATACACAGAGGATCGGGTCCAGGACCCCCACATAGAGCAACGCTGCAGCTGTTCCAGTCCCTTATGTGAGATGGTGTAGCATTTGCATCCTCCCGTGTCCTCTAAATCATCACTAGATTACTTACGATACTATCTAAGTGCTACATGAATGGGGTATTATTTCCATGCAAACTTGGTTGACTCCCAGGATGCAGAATCCATGGGTACGGAGGACCAACCTTATGTGAGGCTCTGTTTACAGCAGGTGCCATTGCATTAAATGGGACCACGTTTAAGGGTTCCCATTAAACTTGAGATTAATAATAGTAACAGCAGGTGGAGGCATCATTCCCTTCCTGAGAGGTACAATTTCTGGGTGTTCTAGACGTGTGTGTATTTTTACACACAGGTGCTTGCCCTAGTGGCTAAGAGGCCAGATGGGATTCCCATACCTTAGGTCGAAGTGCCTGGGCTCCTATTCCAGTTCTTCTCCACTCCTGGGCCCAAATTCCTGCTGATACAGACACTGGGAGGCAGCAAGTGATGCCTCAAGTAGTTGGGTCCCTGCCACTCATGTGGAAACCCAGACTGAGTTCCTGGTTCTTGGCTCCAGACTAGCCCAGCCCTAGCCTTTGGAAAGCGAACCAGTAGATAGGGTGAAAGGACCTCCGTCTCCCCTCTTTCTTCTCCCCTCTTTCCCTGTCTGTCTCTTAAACAAAAACACAGTACACAAGATTGTTGGCCAGGGCAACCATACCAGGCTCAGTCCCATGCTGCCCTCGCCCTGCCCCTTCTTGTTTATTTGTTAGAAGCAGCTGCTGAAGGATTGGCTGCAGTGGTCATGTGAAAGCCATGCCAGGCCTTAATAGACACACACGCACACACACACTCACACACACTCACACACTCACACCCCTGACCCTGGTGAGATCATTTCCTTATAGTATTTCTAAGATGAGCTCAGTAGTGGTGCTAATTACATCCACAGTTCAGCGTGTGAGCAGGCTGTAGAGAAACATGGCTCTTCTCTTAGACTATTTTTTTTCAGAAGTTAATTTGC